GATCAAAAAAGGCACTTCCAGCTGAAAAACTTGCATCTCACTCGGCGTTTTGTTCCTGCTTGCTAGGCGACATCGACATGCAAACAACCTGTGTGCTTGAAGCATTGCTGTGAAGCTGGTTGACATGTATGGCCATTCAAGGTGCGGACTTCACACGCGATTGGACATGGCAGGGCTGTAGAAACATGATCAGTGATGGACTCAGAGCCGCCGCTGTCCACCTGAAGCCCAGGCACAACCCTCAGCCACGGAGATTTGTGATACCCCAAAGCCTGCGTAGGAGCCCGTAGCAAGATATTTTCGAGCAGTTTCAGGCATGCAAAATTGACATTTCGAAATTCGCAAAACTGCCATTCCGGATATTTCCGCCATTTCGCCGCCGATTTCCGCCATTTCGCCGCCGATTTCCGCCATTTAGGTCTTCCGCCCATTTCTAAAAAACGCAATTTCGAAAATCCAGCTCGCCATATCAAAATCAATAGGTCAGGCCCACGGTAAAACAAGGGCACACGTGCCACAGTCCGTCTTTTACAGTGCAGGCTTCCAAATATGGCCCTTCAAATTGGGGCAGCCAAGCTGAATTTGCAGCTGCATGCGCACATGGTTCCAGGCTGCAATGCAAGCCAGGCCTTGCGGGAGGGCGAGCACGTCCAACCCGGTTATACTAGTAAAGCCAAAAGCTTCTGCGGCCAGGTCAGCCAACAGTCTAATTCATTCTCCAACCCGGCAATCAAAAACGCTATTTGCAGAACAAAAAGCGCTATGAGGGAAATGGAAAACGCCATTTCAAAACCTTCACCAGAACGAAAAACGCTATCTCCACCTCGCCGACATGGTGCCTGTACGATGAGGAATTGCAATTCCGCTGAATTTCCGCCATGCCCTGGTAAAACCAGCTTTCGGTTAAATGACTTTAATTATGCAGCAAAAGGTTGGTAAGGATGGAACTTCGTTCTCCGGTAGTACAACTTTAGTACTGAAATGGCCTCTCCGGCAACCGGATGGATCTTCGTTTTCTGGTAGTACAACTTTAGTACTGCAACGGCCGTCTCCGGCAACCGGATGGATTTTTGTTCTCTGGTAGTACAACTTTAGAACTGGAACGGCCGTCTCCGGCAACCGGATGGATTTTTGTTCTCTGGTGGCACAACTTTATTACCAGATTTGTTGAAATTTCGACCTATCGTTTTTGGTGAGTGGCCTATCGTTTTCCAACCCAAGACGCTGTTTCAAAATCTTTGTGTCGGTCCCCTTATAACCCCATACCTGGATAAAAAAGACCACCGTGCTTCACATCAACAAACCATGCACGAAACATTTGCGTAAAGAAAAGCATGCAACATTCGCAGTTTATAGGGTTTGGTCTGGGCAATGCATGCAAAGCCTTGCGCATGCTTGTCATGCAGTGCAGGTGCGGGATATAGAGCATTTTAAGGTCCCAGCAGCCCCCAAGAGCCAGCATCATGAGCATTGACACCACACGTATAAGTTCCAACACCCCTCCAACGCCCTAAGTATGTTGAGGTGTCCAAGCGCTCACGCGCGCGCCAACCACCCCCCCTCCCCCCCTCTTATGTCATAGGTTGAGCGCTGAACTGCTGCCACGGCTCTCTCTTACTGCTGCCTGCTTTGCCCGCCCCTGGGCGAACGTTCTGAATTAAGCAGTGCAAGCCCCGGCCTTCTGCTTGCCTTTTCCGCCTGTGACCTTGGAGCTTCAGGCGGCTGTGAAAACGAGGTGTGCAGGTCCAGAAGGTGAGGTGCTTGCGGATTTAGAATGTAGGGGCTCAAGCCTGTCACAAGGCTCAATGGCAAACAGTTTAGGGTTGTGGGGATCTGCGAACTTTCAGAGTCATCTATTCGATCAATGAGATGAGCGCAGAAACTGAATCCTAGTAGTTAACAGTAGCGGTCAGCAGAGGTTGGCGCAACTTGTGCATCGACCAGCGCTGAGCTGCAGACAGTGGCAGCTGCGGAGAGGAACAGGCCGATATCCTTGACCATGTTCGCGGCAATGAACATTGTGGCCTGCCAGGAGTGATTCACTTGAAAACTCAATCTCAGTGGTGGGTGACATGACGCAGAAAAAAAGGCTTGAGATGTTCCAAAGAAGAGAGACAATATGGCTACTGTACCGGCTGATATTCCAGAAAGAATCCAAACACATCCAACGCAACACCTCCCAGCCAGTGAAGCCGGCTTGTTTGTGTCGTGCTGGAACGAGTCGTGTGGTCTTCGCCGTTGCGCCGATTTTGCCGCCTGTCGCTCCAATGGTGCGGCACCCTCCCCACTGCACCGCTTCGACGTGGCCCCATTCCCTGTCTTGGTTCCTTGCGACGTTGCGCCCCGCTGGCCACTGTGTGGTTGCGCCATCATAAAACAGCGCGAATTCCTCAACTTCGTGCACGTTACAACACTACTACAGCACTATTGCCCTTGATCCTTGACTCCTGCATTCCTGTAATGTATTCTTGGTACGATTCGCATACTGAATATTCCCACCTACAGGTATTCCGTTCCAGTTGTGTTGTTCGTGCTCGCGGTCAATGTTTCTAATTGCAGTGAAGGTTTGAGCATATGAGCCTATCGAAATGGATGCCCTCGTAGGTGCACACTATGATGAGTCGGGGCATGTGTGCATCTCATAAGTGGGTATTTTCATCATGGGTTTGGCATGTGCGCCTTTCAACATGCATGCTCTTGCAGGTGAACGTTATCACGGTGTGAGCGTGTATGCATGATAATCGGATGCCCACATAATTTGTTGTCATTGACGTTTTGTAATCTAGCAGTGACCGCAAGCACTTCCCAGCTGGCAAAGCGCTTTGCTCACAGCAGCTCATGACCACTGCGTTAGCTGCTGAAGACGCGCCCTAGAGCAACACACCCTCTCAGCAGAGAGCCCAACACCAAAAACCCCTAATCTCAAGAAATCCACATCCCTGCGCAAACCAGGCCTGGCGCCGGTCCTCTGTGCAGCGGATGCACTTCAGGGCACTGTCCGCGTAGGCAAAGCCAGTATCGCATCTCATGCACCTGAAATCTTCTATAGAGGTCTCTGACTTCACAGAGAATCCCATATGACCCTCTGCCTGGAACTCTTTGACTCGACTCAATTTTTCTCTGGTACAAGCACGGCCACGTGGCTCAGAGCTAGGTTGATGTAAGTAATGTTTTTGGTGGTTGGCTATTGTGACATTATGTTCCTTACATAAATACTATGCCCCCAAAGCACTACCCATTGTCTCCATAAAGGTGCCGGTAGCACAGAGGTGACACAAAACACCTAAACCCAAACCCAGCCTATCAGGTTCTGTACATGCAGGAAAGCTTGCACCACCCTAGGAACTACAATAGGATTAGCTGTGTGTTAAGTGGTGCAGGATTTCCTCCATTCACCGCAGCACCCACACAAAATCCAGATCTGAACACAGCTCACTGGAACGTTTGACCTGGAACCCACACTCTCAGGGCCCTGCGCCACCTCCCTCCACCGCAACACCACCACAAAGTGAGGTATTGAAGGCAGAGCGAATCAGTGCACGCGCTTAAAGTCGGGACTGCCTGCCCCAAGATGCAACCTAAAGCCTTGGGACATGCTGGCACCCTACTAGTATTCCTTTCTGCCGCAAAGGCGCCCTGGTCCCCTGTAGCCTTCCATACACATGGAGTGCAGCCCCTCCACATCATCCTGCGCGAATTTGGGGCTTCGGAGTATTAGGATCAGGGCTTCAGGAGCTAAAGCAACTTGAACAGAATGGCCAACGCTCCTTGCCTCGTGGGTTGGGGGTGTTTTCAGCAGGAAACGGCCACGCAACGCGAGAGCAGCTTCTCAAAGCATGCGGAGACTGAATCCCTGAAGCTTAAAGGAATGTAGCCCGCAAGGAGTCCAAAAATGTCATACCCTGCCATGCATGCCCTTATTCCCTGCTAGGTACCAGGAAAGGAACCGGACGCAGTATGCTGAAAGCCGTTTCCGACCCCTCCGTCCTCAAACTGCAGGCCGGCCTGTTCATGTTGGGCTTGAAGCGAATTAACTTTTCAACTTTTCCGTATGCCTGCTATCAATGCGCTTCCAGATGCAGGGCAGTGAGCCCGATCCTAGACAAGCTGGCAGGACCTCGATCATCCGGGTGCAGACTTTGTTTGGGCAAACGATTGAAAGTACTTGCGTTTCGTCATGTACTTCGCAAGCAGGCACATACTCTTGTACCGACTCCAGTAAGGGATTGTCATTCTGCTCGTGCCAACCAGCCTCCAGTTTGGCGCCCGTGCAGGTGGCTCTATTAGGGCAGAAGTACCAGGTGGTGATGTTTGACTCATCAACCTCGATGGGGCAGGAACATGTATGACCTTCCTCGCGCTTCTGTTTGGCAAGAACAGCTCTACACACTTCTTAGCCATTGCTAGCCAAGCTTACGAAGTTTGAGCAAATGTTGGCAGTCCAGGCTAGGCACCACGTAGCCGCTGGGGATCTGGAGCTCTGCAGCGGCACAGCCCGCATTGGGGATTGCAGGGCCTGGTTCATGGCTTGGGTAACAAACGCTATATGGAATTTGCTGGTCTTTACTCATTTTGTATGTTTAGTCGGGATTCTCACTCCTAAGCGCAGGGCCTTGCATGTTCAGGGTTGGGTTATAGGGCTACCGTAAACATCTAAATATCCAACTTCTATCGTCTGCTAGGGGTCAAATAAACTGGGCAGATGGAAAGGTTTTCCTGGAAATGATCACGAGGCAGAGTTGACAGGCGGTGGTGTTGCCAATGAGCCGGGTCGTGCCCGCTGCACACGGAAGGCCTCAGTCTGCGGCATACACCCCTTACACCCACACCGTCACTGCAAATCGCGGTTGAATGGGCGCCTACTGCTGGATATCTTTGTCACATTGAGGGCTTCGGATTTCAGGTTCGGGTGGACTGTTCTGGTCAGTCACTACTACAAGTTGTCCTTCAACCCTGAAACCGCGGAAAAGGCGAAGAAACTTGAAGCGCAGCCCAGTCACAGCCCTCTCTGATTCCCAGTTTGTAGAATCCGGCGCCACGCGGGCATGTGGCTGCTCTTGCCACCACCAAGTTGGCATGCCCCGTCACATAGCATGCGGAGGACGCACGTGCACAGTTGAGGGTGTCAATGTGCACGTGACCATTCGCATGCAGCGACCGGCTGGAGCCAGTGATGACGGTTTCCGCTAACGTGATGTTGCCTTGAACGAAGGCGATGTCGCCTCCTCCCCTTGCATAGCAATCCTCGACCTGGCTTGGCCCTGACCTCGTGAGGCTGCCAGCTGCCACATATATACCGCCACCTGCACCAGTGGTGATGCACCGCCGGAGAGTCAATGCCTTGCCGATCAAAACGATGTCACTGCCAGAGAACACACCGCCTGCTGAGCTGTTTTCTCTATAGACAACAGTCAACAACGCCTTCAAAGATCGCCAAAACCCTGCGGTGTGAGCAAGCTAGCCACCCCTGATAGCACTTCAGTCCTCCCTGGCGTGCATGCTTTACTTACATGGAACTTCTGCTCAGGGGTTTTTAGTTGTTTGGGGCAGTGCCACTGGTAGTGTGCAGAAGTTTGCGTCTTCTTTCATACCTGTAATGGGCTCCAGCGACACGTGCCCTGAATGTCTTCCCAAGGAGGTGCAGTGCTTGAAACAGCTGGTTTAGCCAGACAGGCTCATCCCCACAATTTCTTGCACGGAGCATTCGTTTGCTACGAACTCTGTTCAAACCACGTGTTCAATGCTCAACCCTGGCCTGCAGCTTTTCTCTCTGCTTCATTCGGTGAAAGAGAAAACCTTGTGATGGAATTACCCTACCCGTGTCAGGAACCGAAAAAGGTGCAGGGTTCGGGCGCTTTCTTGGGGTGTTAAGCTGTGGGACCCTGAGCACCGTGGCGCCTCCCGCCATCTTGGCCCTGCAGTTCTCAAAAAGAAGCCTGCCGTTCGCAAATTCGAGGCCGGCAGCTGCGTACAAACCACCTGCAGTATAGTCTGCACTAGTAAGGCTTTAGGGATTCTAGTAATGGCAAGTTGTGGCATGGCTTAGGGATTTTGCAGCTTGGGGTTTGGAGCTTCAAGGGTGGGGTGCTCAAGTTGACAGGATGTACACCATCGGCAACAGACTCTGCCTGCTATGGATGCTGTTGGGCCGCGGGTGAGTTCTTTGGGTCCGAAGTGTGTGGACCCCTCACATGCCTTTATGGACGACAGGAGCCTGAAGAATCACAAGCCTCACCCGCTTAAAATCTATGTAAATGACTACCCAAAGACATCTTCTGATTGCATAGGCTACTGTAGTACCCTTTTGAAATCACCCTGCCTCCATTCCTACCTGAAGCTGCATCACGAACATCAAGCTGGGAGTCCACAATACGGACCTTCTTGCCGAACCACAGACCACCTGCAAAGCATGTGATTCATCGCAGCCTTCCAAACAAACGCGCTCATGGGGGGAGGAAGAGCTGCCTGCGACATGGAAACATGCATGACCAATGATTTCATCCCCTGCGCTCGTCAGTACAGTTGCAGCAGCAATTAACAACTCCATAAACTTGTAGATCATGATTCATGATGGAAATGCAGCACATTTGGGTACCAAGGAGTGCCTCCATCTACCTTCGAGGACGACCTGCGGATGTTCATGACAGTCCTTGAGAGGTCCAAGTTGGCTCCGTGCAGGGCACCTGTGGACAGGCAGGACTTGAGAAAAATGGAAAACATGAGTAATTTCAAGCCAGCCCTGAAATCTCAAACCAGAAAGCGGTAAAAATCAAGATAAGCCTTCGCCAGGGTGTGCCGGCCTCCTTCTTGCGCCAAGCTGTCAATGACGTGCATGGCCACATTGGAAACTGAGATGTTCTCCCCCGCGAACATGGCACCTACGCGGGTGTGTTCCGAGCGCTGCGAAGAAGCTTGCTTAGCTAGAAGCCTTTTGGAGCCATGCTCTGGCGATGTCTGTGGCAGCATGCTGGCAAGGCAGCTTCCCAAGAAGCCTGCCATCCCAATTATCTTATCAAGCTCAGTCGATACGATTTTCTTTGCCACGATGCTTGCCTGGCTGTAGCTCCTTCAATAATCGGCCGTGTGTTTGTGAACCCTGATTCAGGGCATTCTGAAATTTGCTCTCAGGCCGTAAGGTGCAGTCCAGTGCGAGAAAAGAAGCCAAGGACCGACCTGACATAGATTGTTTGTAACAATTGGGATGGATTGACGTATAGACTTGGGCACATAAACGACACAAGAAGTTTATTGTTTGCAAGCAGGAATGTGGTGTCACCGAAAAGGGCGCAGGCCAAGGCCAAATGAGGCCAAGATCTTTAGCACGCAGAATCATACTGTGCCGGGGACTGTAAATATCCTTTCCGTGCCATCTTGCAGATGAGTTTTGAGACAGTCTTAGTTTGCTCCGCTCAATGTCTGAATCGGCAAGGGCCAACTGAGGCGCGGATCGTTTGCAGGCATGATTGTCGTGAGGATCCTTCCCCTGACATTGTCGAGTGAAAGCAGTTTGAATTTGCTGCGTCTAGTGCAAGGGGATGTACGGGGGCTGAGGTAAATGTTTGGGCGCGAAAAAAGTGTACTGTCTATAGCATGGTCCAGCATTGTCCAAAACTGGTGTCAAAAACCATCCTGCTTCGCCATGTCCAATGCAGCCGAGGTCAAAGGTGCTGCGGATAGATTGCAAACACGATTGCGAGGGCTGGGGTATGCCAAATGCTGCAAAAAGGACGAGCTCAAATGTAGCATGGATGCTTGTCAAGAAACATTGTGGTGGGCAAAGGGACAGTGTCCTTTCTGCTACATTATGGTGAATGAGATCACTCGTGTGCAGTTTGTGGTGATGGTCGCTGAGGGCTGCTGATCGGGACGACTGCAGGTGCACCATGTCTGCTTCATCTGCCTTTGCAGAGCTGCGGTGTGGCTGGGCATCGTTCACATGCTAGAGCTGTCTTCTCTCTCTCTCCTCTCTCCTCTCTCTTCTTCTTCTTCTTCTCCGGGCTTGAAGGGGTCCTACGACCCCTCGCAGGCACAGCCCGCAGCCTACGCGGGCGAGCAGCTGTTCAGGTCAGGTGCCACCCAGGAGGGCACAACACACTTCTCTCTCTCTCTCTATATACATATATATGCACGCGCTTCTGCAATGCTGCCACTGGTTCAGCAGCAGGGGCCACAAAAAGCACTGCAAAGCAGAAGCGACTGTGCAGCAAAGTTAACCAATGATTTTGCAACCTGAGGTCTCTGAGATTAGACGACGATCGACTGGCACACGGCAACACGGTTTGGTTTTGCGAGGCTCCTCAAATCGTTGACTTAGCTCACAAGCTGCGCCCTATCGCCTCCATGACTCCCT